CCCCTGGTGGAGGTTTAATTCAACAGACATTTATTGCACGTCTGCTGTTGGAAGACTGTGGACCATCATGCTGAACCATTCTCGTGGCATGAAGGTAACCAGTATTTGGAGCTCTTAGGAAATCCTATCACCGTCACCACCATCGTCGGTATATTGCGTGAAACCCACTGCAACTTTTTAGAAATTCGACTTTATGTTTTAGAGATTTGGCCACATTGATTGTGTTAGCTTCTCTTGAAATTTTCCATTTTGCACGAATAAACACAACAGCTGTGGTGGGCACGCCCCTTTCTTCACACCCAATGCAAACACCTCCCAGTTCTCCAAGACCAGTCGCCACTCCCAAGCCACAGCTCCTACAGGAGGGCTCCCTGTCCCACTTCTCCTCTGCTGCCTTCTGCACACTGATGTGCTCGACAGCCGTCTTCCCTGCTCTCACGTCAGCCCTTATTCTTCCAGGCTGCAGCCTTCCTGAGAGGCCCTAAAGAGGTGACATGTAATTGGCAGGTCGGAGACTCGAAGGATGAGGAGCCAGCCAGGCAAAGAGCGGGAGAGAAAGATAGTCCTTCAAGATAGGAACATTAAGAGCAAGGCACTGCCTCGTTCATGTCCCTGCATCCTCTGTACCCAGCATGGTGTTCATCCACTGTCCCACAGATGTAATCTGGGCGCATAAGTGGATGCTGTGCATACAGAAACCCCGGCTTGGGGGAATCTCAGTAGAGTAGGGTGAGGGGTGGCGGGGGGGAGAAGAACCCCAGACGTTTACTGCACCCAGCAACAAGAGCATATGCCTTGTTCAACTGGACAGTGACCAGGCTAAGGGCCTGATCTAGGGCACTCAGGCATATGGAGCTAGTCAATCTTTCTTTCCAAACAAGATCCCTAATGCTCCCTTGCTTTCCAAACAACACTTTCCTCTCTCATTGGGAGTAAATAAACACATCATTCTCGGCCTCTTGGTGCTTTGACTGCTCAGAGCTGATGTCCCAGTGGTGCAACCATGTGCCAGTCCAGTTCTAAGGAGAGGGGAGGGACATTCCAAATCTAGAAATCACGAAGGGTCAACTGCAGGTTCTCTCCAAGAGGGCAGAGTGAGCACAGATCCTGATTTATCCTAGTGTTCTAGCCTCCCTGGGAGATCACAAACTCTGGCTTTCCTTTTAAAATCTTTTGAGGTGACATCTAAAAGGAGTTTGGCTGAGGGCCTGGCAGTAGTAGGTGTTCAGCTCATACTCACTTCTTTTTCCTCTGACCCCTGACAGCCTGGCCTGGTCTTTCTGGTAAGACCCTTGAATTCTTCCCATCCACTCATTCATTCATTCTAAAGGTATTGATTGTACCCCCTGTGTTAGGGGTTGGTGATCAGAAACAAGACCCAGACCTGGCCTTTGAGGGGCTCGTTGATGGCACTGGGGGGCTGAGAGAGAGGTGCATAGTTAACACAGGTTCTGGGGACACCTTGGTGGCTCATTCGGTTAAGCATCTGGCTCTTGGTTTTGACTCAGGTCATGATCTCACAGTTTGTGAGTCAAACCCCGCGTCAGGCTCCATGCTGACAACTCCTCATGTGCTTGGGATTCTCTCTCTCCCTCTCTTTTTGCCCCTCCCCAGCTCGCTCGCTCTCTCTCTCTCTCTCTCTCTCTCTCAAAATAAATAAACTTAAAAAAAAAGGACAAGCCCTACATCAAGGCATCAGCGCAGAGCCCACTTCAGATCCTCTGACCCCCTCTCTTTCTGTCCCTCCCCCACTCACACACACTTGCTCTCTGTCTCTCTCTCTCTCTCTCTCTCTGTCTCTCTTTCCCTCAAAAATAAGTCCCTCAAAAATAAGCAGACTGCCCAGACTCAAATCCCAGCTTCACCAGTTCCTAGCTGTGTGACCATGGGCCTGTTACTTAACCTTTCTGTGCCTCGATTTCCTCATCTGTAAAAAGAATAACGATAGTGCTTACTTCACAGGGCTCTTGTGAGAATCAAATGAGTTCATACATGTAAAACAATTAGAACATTGCCTGTTGCATAATAAGGCTCGATAAATGATCCACATGCACATATGTATAAAATTATTATTATAACAAAGAGCCAGGATGTCAGCAAACACTTGATTGTTGCTTCCTTGGCATAGGCCCTGGACCAGAGTGTGTGGGGCTCACGGTGAGCATGACTGCCCAGGCTCCTACCCTCGTGGGCTGACGTGAGAGCAGGGAAGACGGCTGTCGACCACATCAGCGTGCAGAATGCAGCAGAACAGTGGGACAGGGAGCCCTCCTGTAGGAGCTGAGGCTTGGGAGTGGTGACTGGTCTTGGAGGGTTGGGAGGTGTTTGCAGAACGAGGTGTTTGGGTTGGGTGTGAAGAAAGGGGCGTGCCCACCACAGCTTTTGTGTTTATTCGTGCAAAATGGAAAATTTCAAGAGAAGCTAACACGATCAACGTGGCCAAATCTCTAAAACATAAAGTCGAATTTCTAAAAAGTTGTGGTGGGTTTCGCGCAATATGACAATAATGATGGCAATAGAATTTCCTAAGAGCTTTCTATATGACGAGTATTGTTCTAAATGCTTTGCTTATGTTAATCCATTTAATCTGCTCAAGAGCACTGTGACTTAGGAGCTATTATTAACCCTATTATACAGATAAGGGAACTGATGTACAGAATGGTTAAGTCACTTGCCTAAGTTAGTAGGTGGCATAGTCAACATTAGAACAAGGCTGTCTGGCTCGGCAGCCTGTGCCTTTACGATTACACTGTGTAAAAAGCACACAAAATAATACCTTTTTGTACAAATAGTAAAAGTGTAGTCATGCACAAAACCACAATATCTTCTGGGAAGAGGAAGTAAAGGAGGGAAAGAGATGACAGGATAGACCTTTTATTTTGGTCTTTCTTTTTTAAAAAAACCTGAAACAGAGCAAAGTAGTAACATCTGCTAATTTGGGTGGTGGGTTATGTGGGTTGTAAAATTATTCTCTGTATTTTCCTGTATGCTTTGAAATACCTAATTTTTCATTGAGATTTTTATGGAGGTAATTATAGAGTCACACATCGTAAGAAATAATACAAAGACAAGAAAACAACAACAAAAAGAAAGACCACAAAGAGGTCCCAGATCCCGTCCACCCAGTTTCCCCCAAAGCTGGCGTTTTGCAAAACTGTAGTGTAGTGTCACAGCCCACCCACTGTATCCGGATTTTCCTAGTTTTACTTGTACTCGCTTCTCTATGTTCATGTTTGTAGGTTTGTGCGTATGTTTAGGTCCATTCAATTTTACACAAATTTTACACATAGGTAGGTTTGTGTGTCTACCATCACAGAACACCTGAACGATTCTAACTTCCCAAGGATTCTCTGTGGTCAGTTTATAACTGCATCCATGTCCCTAAACACGCACGCACGCACGCCCACATGTGCACGCACACCCTAGCCCCTAGCAACCACTAATCTCTTCTCCACTTCTGTTCTCTATTTTGTCATTTCAAAAATGTTATGTAAATGCAGTCACACAGTATGTAAGATTGAGGGCTTGGCTTTTCTAACGCTGCCTAATTGCCTTGAGATCCATCCCAAATTGTTGCCTGTCTCAGTGGTTTGTTCCTTGATATCTCCGGGTCGTATCTCATGGTGGGATATCCCACAGCTTATTTAACCTTTCACTTGTTGGATGTTCGAGTTGTTTCCAGTTTGGGGCTAATAGGAGTAAAGCTGCTGTGAACATTCATGTACTGGTCCGTGTGTGAATATAGGTTTTTGTTTCTTCGGGATAAATGCCCAAGAGTACAATTGCTGGGGGATATGGTAATTCATGTCTGTCTGTCTGTCTATTTGTTTAATGTTTATTTATTTTTGAGACAGAAACAGAACATGAGTGGGGGAGGGGCAGAGACAGAGGGCGACCCAGAATGCGAAGCAGACTCCAGGCTCCGAGCTGTCAGCACAGAGCCTGACACGGGGCCCGAACCCACAAACCGTGAGATCATGACCTGAGCCGAAGTCAGACGCTCAACCAACTGAGCCACCCAGGCACCCCGCATGTCTGGTTTTATAAGAAACTGCCAGACTGTTTTCCAGAGTGGCTGTGCCTATTTCATAATTTTAAGAAAAGGTTTTTGGCTGACAGAGGAAAGGCAGTCCAGGTCGAGGCAAGAAACATACAGAGATCTGGAGCCGGAAATTGCATTCAGGCTTGTGGAACCAGCAGGATGTGTCGTGTTGCTAGGACAGACTCTGGGGTTAGGTGAAGAGGGAAAACAGGTTTGCTCCTCATTCAGTCAACAAACACTTACTGGGCTCTTCCATGTGCCAGACACTGTCCAGCACACGGAAGCACCGCCTTCAGAAGCCTGTGTCTAGCAGAGAAGACAAGGTGAAATAATTACAAGGTCCATAGTTGACAAGGGTGAAGGAGAACCTTCGGGAGGGTGTGACGAGGGCATCTGCAGACATCAGGTGCTTTCTGTGCAGGTAGGGACGTGTCTGTCTCGTTCTCCCCCTGGGCCCCAGCACATAGTAGGCAGTCAGCATATATGTGTGAAATGTTGAGCGGATGCTCTCACGCAGTGTACCCACTCCCTGTGAGCATGTCCTGTCCACGGCCCTCTGTAAGCAGCTGTGTGTCCCAGTCCCGCCGTGTGGGTAAAAGGGCAGAGGCGAGGCCCAGACACCCCACCCCGCAGTGAATTACCACACCACAGATTGGAAGCCAGCGTGACATACAAAAGGTTGGAATGCTCTACTGTAAATTTTTAATTGTTAAACAAGCAAAGAGGGTTGTAAATTCCGTGCGACGGGACAGTATTACATATTGTGCCTGTTGTCGCCGCCACGGTTTCTTATCAGCCCGTTGGGGTTTCACAGCCTCTCGTGCTTCTTGCATGTTAGAGGGGCCCCTCCGCAGGGTCTCTGGGGCATGGTGCGACACCATCCTCTTTCCTGTGGGGGTGGCGGCCAGCTCTCTGTGCATCCTCCATCTGACTTCCCCTCATTCCGTCTCATGTCTAGATTTTCTCCAAAGGAACATCCAGTGCTCGCCCTCCCAGGGGCGCCGGCCCAGTTCCCCGTCCTGGAGGAGCATAGGCCACTCCAAAAGTACATGGTATGGTCGGACGAGATGGTGAAGACGGGAGAGGCCCACATCCGCGCCCATCTCATCCGGCCCTACGTGGGCATTCACCTGCGCATTGGCTCTGACTGGGTAATTTCTCCCTTCCTCCCATGGCTGGCTTGACGTGTCCCTGACTAGGGCCCATGCCTGTGGGCGTTGAACACTGAGCCCACTGCACCAAGTCCCAGGCAGGGCAAAGAGGTCTCATTCAGCCAAGTCTGTGGTACTGTATTCCATGATCCTGCCATAGGCACATCAGAAATGTGGCTCCAGAGTGCTTACTTGCCAACCCTCATTTTGACAATTGCCATTTTTGTCCGTCCTTTGCAGATGGAAAAAGAAACATCAAGGTAGACTCCAAGTCAGGCAGTAAGCCAGAGAGAGACCCGCAGCTCAGGAGTCCTCTGGTCCAGCTCAGCGTTTAGCCAGTAGACTCTGTTGAAAAACAAGCTCTGGAGATTGGGTGGGGCCCCCAAGAAATGAAGATGTCATCCTCCAAATTCGGAGGCTGCTTAAATATGCAGAAACCTCATCAGATTATCTTCTGTGTGGAAATAACAGAGCAACGTAGACAGTCTCCTTAATTTACACCAGAAGATGTATGTGTGTATGTATATTAGAAATGCTCATTGTGGAAGACTTGAAAAATACTGACGAGTATAGAAATTAGATCAAAATTCACTCAGAGTCCATTGAGGAAGTACAGGTGACCCTTGAACAACTTGGGTTTGAACTGCGCAGGGGCACTGAAATGCTGATTTTGTACAGTGCAGTGCTGTACCTGTGTTTTCCTTACGACTTTCTTGGTAACTTTTTCTTGTTTCTAGCTTCCTTTGTTATAATACAGTACGCGGTACATATAACATACAAAATATGTGTTCATTGACTATTTATGTTATCAGTAAGGCCTTTGGCCCACAATAGCCCATTAGTAGTTATGTTTTGGGGAAGTCAAAAATTATATGCAGGTTTTTGACAAAAATTATAAGCATAGGGTCAGGGATAGTGTCCCTAACCCCTGTGTTGTTCAAGGGTCAACTGTAGTCACACGCGTATGCCCTTGACTCCCTTCCTGCTCTCCTTCCACAAAGAAAAGAAGCCAGGCTCGGAGTATCTTGGCCCAAAATATCTTGTGAATGGTTTCAGCCAAACCTTTAAGAAACAGTTTCTGTCCATATGTGCTTAGAACATAAAAAGATATAAGATGCCATTTTTTATAAAGCTAGCATAGCACTAAAGCAAACTCAGATAAGGTCAATTCAGAAGAGTAGATAGTGCCCATTGTCACAAACACAGATGCCCAAATTCTAAGTAGAATATTAGCAAGTAAACTCCAATAACATATTAAAGAGCATGTAACACAAGTAAACTTCATCCCAGGAATGTAATTCACCGTATTAGCACCCAAAGAGGAAAAATCACATAATCATTTCAATAGAGGCCAAGAAAGTATTTGATGAAAGTCGACACTCATTCATGATTTAAAAAAAAAGCAAGGAAAAGAAAAACTTCTTAACTAACCGGGAAAGAAGGGACCCACCTTAACTTGATAAAGGCTATCTCTCCGAAACCCACAGCAAACATGTACTTCATGGGAGCTATCAGAAGTGTTCCCACTGAAGTCAGAAATCAGATAAGGCTGCCCATTATCACCACCATGGCTCAGAATTCTATTGGAGTTCCCAGATAATATAGTAGAACTAAGAAAAAAATATTTTGTAAAAAGCCAGTACGCCACTACACGGCAGTAACCGCTGTTACTGTTTTGATGCGTTTCCCTCTTCCCTCGGTGCTTTTTTAAAAAACACAATGCAGCTTCTGCACAGCCTTTCTCCACTTAGTGGCTCCTGCCCCTGGGGTCCCGGGCCGTTTGCAGCCTTTAACCCTGTCCCCCTTCAACACTGCAGAAAAACGCCTGCGCCATGCTGAAGGACGGAACCGCAGGCTCCCACTTCATGGCCTCCCCGCAGTGTGTGGGCTACAGCCGCAGCACGGCGGCCCCTCTCACCGTGACCATGTGCCTCCCTGACCTGAAGGAGATCAGACGGGCCGTGAAGCTCTGGGTGGAAGCGCTGAACGCCCGGTCGGTCTACATTGCCACGGATTCTGAGAGTTATGTGCCCGAGATCCAAGAACTCTTCAAAGGGAAGGTGTGTGTGGGCCCGGTGGGGGTGCAGCGGGAAGGGAATCAAAGAAAGCTCCAGGGTGGCCCCACGGCTCCCTCTACGTGCTTTATGTCCTTCTGACACTTAGGCATTACCGCTCCGGTTCCTATCCTTCCTTCAAACCCTGGCCCAAACACCTTGGCCCATTCTCTCCAGTTTCCCCTGCATTCTTGTAGCTAATGTGTCCCTACTGGAGCTGTCACAGTATTTTATCACAGCTGCTCTCGCGGCACTGTCTAGTCTGTGTGAGACTAGAAACACGTCCCACTTCTTCCCAAACGTCGTGGCTTCTTGAAGGCAGGATCAGAGGCTGACTCACCATTCTGTTCCTCAGCTTGTAGAGGCCTTGCCGTCACCATTGTCTAGGTCAGTGCTTAACACAGTAGACACTTGGTGACTGTTGAATAAGGGCTTAAAGAGTGGGCCCTTGGGAGAAATCCAGTGTAACAGATTAAGAGCTGGACTCTGGAGCCAGAGAACTTGGGTGCTACTCATTGTGCAGTCTTGCACAAGTTACTTTAGTTCTCTGTACTTCTTTCGTTTTCTGTAAAATGGGACTGAGAGTAGTCCTGTTTCATAGGGTGATTGTGAAGATCAGATATGAAGAAAATAAAACCATTCCGGTGCAAAACAAGTGCTCAATAAAGTTAGCCATCACTGATAGTAGGAGTAGGTGGTTGATGAATAAAGGGAATGCTCTTTTGTACTTCGTAAATGCTTAAGGAAGTGGTGAATAGTAAATATTGAGTGTGTGACTAAAGAGTGGGATGTGCTTGGTGCTCTATCAGTGGAGGGTAGGTAAGAAATATCAATAAAGTGACTGAATTAATACCAAGCATTCAATAAGGTTTTGTGGAATGAATGAAAGCCCTAAACACCTGCACAGACCTTAAAAGGTTTGCTTTCTAACAGTGGGAACCCTTGGCTTTATGTGAGGGGCTCCCTTCTCTCTTTTAGCCCAGACACCAGCAGGAAGCCCTGACTTGAAAAGAAGGTGCCAAGTCAGCGCATCCTGGCCTGCCTCCCTCCCACCTGCTTTTTAGAAGACCATCAGAGCTGGGAGACCTTGGGGCTCCTCCAACTCAGCCCCTGCATGTTATAGCTGAGGAAACCAAAGTCCCAAGAAGGGATAGAATTTACCCAGGAGGTCTCAAAGCTAATGATAGTGGGTATGACACGGAGCGGGTAAGTTTCAGGGCGTGGGTGGAATTATTCGGGGGATTTTGGCCATGATTATACTAGTATTATTTCTCTGCTACCATCCAAATAGCAAGATGATGATTTTTGTTAGATCAGAAATCTCTGTGTGACAGCAAAGCACTTTCAGCCCCAGCTCTGCCCACACCCCCACTTCTGTACTAAGTTGAAGCATTTGGAGAGTCCCTGGGAGTTTTTTCGTGAGTTTTTAGAGTTGATATATTTGTTACACGTTAAGTCTCTTGCCATTTTCTATTTCCTGTTCATGTGCCACTGTTGTCGTCCTTGCCTACTTCTCAACCCCTCTGTCCATGGGGTCAGAGCCCACCCTTGCTCCTCCGTTAGGCTGGGCCACTGCTGAGCTGAGGATGCTGATAAATAAGATGTAGTCTTGCCCTCCAAGACTCCCAGTCTAGACTCAGGAAAAGAGACTTTGCACAGAACTCTAATATATGCTGCAAGAGAGGTCCGGGAGCTTGAGGAGAGGCAGGGGCTCATTCATTCCTGTGTCCAGTCAACAGATATTTATTGAGACAGGCCCCAGCCAGCAGTGACAAGAAGACCACCACAGCCTGGCCCCATCAAGTGCAGGAGGCTGATCTTAATCAGAGTGAAAACTACAAGCTGAGATGTGTGCTCCAAAGTAAAGGAATGTGGTTCTGTGAGAGTATAGAGCAGAGGACCCTGGCCTAGACCAGGGTCTGCAGAGGTGAGACTGGAGCTGCAGAGTGAGGGTCAGGTAAGAAGCAGACAAAAAGATGAATGCCTCAAGCAGAGGGAGAGTGCATGCAAAGGTCCTGAGGCAGGAAGGGCCTGGTGGATAGTGGCTAGAGCTCAAGGGATGATGGGGGAAGGTATGAGAGGTGGAGAGGTGGCTTGGACAGGGCCTTGTAGGCCACATTCAAGATTTTTCATCTTCATCTGAAGAGAAGTAGGGCACCATTTAAGGGTGTTCAACTTGCAGTGGAGGGAGGGACAGAGAAAAAGTTTTTCCAGCTGCTCTGTGGTTAGCACACAGAGGCAGTGAGGGGACCCATGAGGAAGTAAGAGATTGTGGTGGCTGGGCCCCTGGAGTGATGGTCCACCAAGGGAAGGGGTCACTTTTGGGGAGTATCTCGGGGACAGACTGAACAAGACTTTGGGGCTCAGAGGCATCCAGGCAGCAGAACAGGATGGGTGGAGCCCTATGTGATCAGATCACAGTTTGATGGGGAGAGCCACACCTGCTGGCCTAGGGCTTCATGAGAATGGTGGAACTCGAGCTGAGCCTTGAACTAGAATAGGAAAAAGACACTCCAGGCAGAGGGAACCACACCAGTGAAGGAACCACACTAGAGGGTGAATGATGCTGTATTTGGAGCTGAGGCTGGCAGTGGGGGAAGGGTGTGTGCCATGTGGGGGTGTGCTAAGACAGCATCTGGGCAACACTGCCGGCGGAATGCCCGACCCCATGTCTGAATCCTCTGTGCACCTCCTTTTGTGTCTGGCACTTCTGTGCAGGGGAAGAAAGCTGGGGGTATGGCGGCAGGCCTTGGCCAGACTGGCCACCTTTGCCTGCAGCCACCCTGGTGAAAACGTTCTGCCCTCCCTCCTGCAGGTGAAGGTGGTGAGCCTGAAGCCCGAAGTGGCCCAGATCGACCTGTACATCCTTGGCCAAGCCGACCACTTTATCGGCAACTGTGTCTCCTCCTTCACTGCCTTCGTGAAGCGGGAACGGGACCTCCAAGGGAGGCCGTCCTCTTTCTTTGGCATGGACAAGCCCCCTCAGCTGCGGGATGAGTTCTGATCCTGGCTGGAGCATGTCACCAGTCTAAGCTGGTCACACTTGCCAGGCCTGACAGCCAGCAGTGCTCCCAGGACCGATTCCCAAGGATGCAAGCTCTTCCCCCTCGCCAGAGACAGGAAAGCACCAGGGACTTCTGGAGGAGGAGGACTCCATCTCCCGGGGCACAGGGCTTTCAGGCTCCCCAGCCAGAGCGTCTCCAGTCCCTGTGTGCCTCTGCTGTTTCTCCTGGGGATTTCTCACACTGGCAAAGCAGTCTGACCTCCATCTTTTGGTCTGCCCTGCTCTGAGCAGCCTAGGGGGCTGAACTCTTCTCAGTGATTTTTTTATATAAAGAGAGACAGAGGTTCTTATAGTTTTGATATGAGGTCATGACTACACTAGAACTCTCCCTCATTTTTAAAAATCAGTGAATTTCATTACCGTAGGTATCTAAAGTGACCTTGAATGAGGATGAGGCCAGGGGTGGAGCGGTTGTATTGACCCCTTTTCCAGCTGACCCCCAAAGTAGCCCTTAGACTGGGCCAGAGCCAACCCCACTGCCTGGCCAGAGCCATCATCTACCCCTCTTCCGAGCCCATTTCCATGCTCATTGGGGCATGAGCACTTGTCTCATTATAAACACTATGCAAGTAGAAGTTAGGAATCATGATGCTGTGCACTGCTCTGCTGCAGACACGGAGTGCTGCCCCCACAGCACGTTCCAAGTAAGGAGCATCTGCCATCAAACGAGACCATCATGCTATTGCTCTCAGAGTCTCCTGGTGCTTGGTGACTTGCCACAAACCTGGCTCCATCGAGATCTTAGAGCGTATCACCAGGGACCAGCAGTGGATGGCCTGGTGGCATCCTTCTGAAGGCTGCCCTCTCCTCCTTCATCTGTGTCCTAAGGGGCCTGGTTGTAGAATTTTGCCATTAAGTTGCTATCCAAAACCTGTCCCCGCAGCCTCCTGCCTGTGGCTGGAGCTCTGAGGCCATATTCTCACAAGGGAGCGTTTGCTAAGCCTCTGACCAGGTAGGAGATACCCCTGACCCAGAAGCCATCAGATTCCCAATTTGCCCTTTCCTGTCCGATAAAATCTCTGCCAACCCCATGAGGCTTAAAGTATTACATTCTGCGGTTTTTTTGTTTTTGTTGTTATTGTTGTTTGTGGGGGTTTTTTGTTGTTTTTTGTTTTTTGGGGGTTTTTTTGACTTTCAGATGCTACAGTTGTGATAATCCATGACTCCTAAGATTCTGTGATGTTTTGGCCTTGTGGTTCTAAAATTCATGTCTAACACCTGCTGGTGTCTTCCCTGCCATGTGCCTTCCCTTGGCCTTCAATCCTGGGAAGGTGGAGGAGAGTCTAATGAGAGCCAAGCCCAGAGCTCCGTGCAGGGCTTCTCCCTTAAGTTACCTTTGGGAAGAAACATTGTCTTTGTCAAGGCCAGAGGTTGCAGAGCAATAAGGATTTCAAACACCAAAGGTGGCCTTTGCTGCTTGGAGCTGCTGCCCGACTTGAAGCAGAGAAACTAGAGAAAGGGCTTGGGAAATGTGAGATGTTCTAAATCCTGGGTGGACCCTGAGAGATGGCTTGTCTGTTCAGACTTGTTCACAAGCTTCACTCACGGGTGCAGGGGCCTGTGCACGCCTGCCTCTGTGGGGTCGCTGGGGAGGGGCGGCTCACTTCTGGTTTTGTGTGCTGAATTTGTTCGCTGTTCACAGCCTCACACTAGGCACACGCTTTAGAGTCTGGGGCTCTGATGGGCCATCCAGATCACTTTGATTAGCGTTGGCAGTGGTAACAACTCGTGTTTCTGGCGAGAAGATGCCAGCGTTGTAGTCAGATTCAGTTGTGTTCCACAGGCAGGCACTCTATTCCTCTTTGACCCAGTTGCCTCACCTATAAAAATGGTGATAAAAACCGACGGGGTTGTTGAAAGCCTCAAATCAGATAAAGCATGTATAAGAGGACGTTGTAAACTAGAAAGAACCAAAGGCGCATATATGGCTGCTGATTAATTTGATGGCCTGTTGTCGCACACCTACTCTGTGCCAACACTGTGCTTGTCAAGTGCTTTATGGGAATTTAGCCCCCACTCCAGCCCTGGGCGTAGGAACTGTTAATATCCTTCTCTTGCTGCACAGGGAAAAACTAACACTCGAAAAAATTCTCATAATTTTCTCAAGGCCACATAGCTGGTGGTGTTAAGCCAGGATCTGACCTCCCAAAGCAATTACTATTAGCCCCACACCCCCCCCCTTACTGCCACCAGTTCACAGGATGTACTTTATGCAGTGGGGGGGGGGGGAGCGGGGTTCAGATGGGAGAATGATCAGCCACTTTAGTTCCCACTGGGCTCCTGCTATGGGTCTGTTACTGCCAGGAGGTTTTAGGGAAGGAGAAATCACCCAAAAACAAAGCCCACATGAGGCTTGTAGTTATTTCGGTATTTATTCCCACATTCTTTCATTCGAGTCACCAACTATGTGCCAGGCTGTGTGTTAGGTACTAGAGACTCAGCAGAGAATCAGACATAAAGTCTGTTCTGAAGGGATTTGCATTGTAGTAAGTACACGACCCAATGAAGACATGTCCTGGGGGAGGTACTGACCAACTGCAATGAAGAAAAATAAAGGGTCTGGGGTGTTCGCAGTGCTGTTCTGGATGAGGAGTTCAGGTAAAGCCTCTCCCAAGAGCTGCCAGAAAGAAGGAAGGGGCCACTCATTCAGATATCTGGAGGCAGCACATTCCAGGCAAAGGAAACAGCAGGTGCAAAGGTCCTGAAGCTGGAATGACTGAGTGAAGAGTGGCAAGGAGCTTGCATGTTTGGAATGGCAGGACTGAGGCAGGGAACAGAGCAGTAGATCAGAGCAGGCAAGATCCTATATCCTGGAAGCCAGTGGTAAAGTCCAAACTTTTATTTGGAGAGATGGGGAGCTTTTGCAGGGTTCTGAACAGAGAAGGATCAAGATCTGCTTATAGTTTGAGGGACCCTTCTAGCTGCATGTGGAATAAAGGTGGGAGGGTGGAAGCATGGAGACCAATGCAGGGCTGGTGCTGGGATACAAGCCAGGTGGTGGGGCTCAGGCAAGGACCATTGCATTGAAGGTGATGGGAAGTGGGCAGATACTGGATATATGAATTATTTTTAAATTTCAAGCTTTTTTATTTTTTTAAGGTTTTATTTTTAAGTCATCTCTACCCCAATGCGGGGCTCAAACTTAGAGCCCTGAGATCAAGAGTCACACACTCTACTGACTGAGCCAGCCAGGTGCCCCATTAAATTTCAATCTTTTTTAAAGATAGGAGTCTTTGTATATTTTAATAATGCAATGTATACAATTTCATATGTTGTTTTTCACTTAATAGTATATCACATTGTCCATGTTGGTACACATCCTGAATAAACGTTTTTAATGACAAGATTCTATTGAGGGGCGTCCCATAGTTTAATGTCCTATTAGGAGAACTTAGTATGTTCCCAATTTTTCACTATTATTATTTGAATAATATTTTTATTTACTTTTTTTTCCTGTAATATGTTCATGAAGATAAATTCCCAGAAATGGATTTTATTTTTATTTTTTCATTTTTTTAAGTTTATTTATTTATTTTGAGACAGGGCGCGTGAGTGGGGGAAGGAGCAGAGAGAGAGAACCCCAAGCAGGCTCTGCACCATCAGCACACAGCCTGATGCGGGGCTCCAACTCACGAACCATGAGATCATAACCCAAGCCAAGGTCAAGAGTCAGATGCCTAACTGACTGAGCCACCCGGGTGCCCCGCAGAAATGAATTTTAGATCAAAGACCTAAAGGTAAAAATTTTTATTATGGAAAACCTTAAATCTACATAAAAATTGTGAGTAATGAACTCCCAGATCAGCGATTCTCAACATTTCACGGGTCTTGTGTTATTTGCTCTTCCACCCCCAAGTCCACATGCTGGAGTCTTTCAAAGAAAATCTGAATATGTTTTGAAGGAAGAGCCAACAGAATTTGCTGAGGCACCGAATGGGGGGTAAGAGGGAACCAGAGTCCTAGGATGCGCTAAGGTTTGGGGCCCAGGCAATGGGAAGGAGTCGTCCCCGACTTACAGGCTGGCCTTGAAGGTGGGCCACCTCACCTCCAAGTTCCAGGTGCTAATGGTGGTCCAAGCAGTTTCTTCGAGGTGGTCTTCAGAGACTCCTTAGCTGGTTGACAAGGCAGATTCTGGGGACCCGCCCACATGAGGAATCAGAATGTTTTATAGGTAGCGCCTAGGTATCTGCATCTTTTTTTTTTTTAATGTTTATTTATTTTTGAGAC